CGCGAGACAAGCTGGCAGGCGTGTCCATTTGAGGGGGGACAAAGTGCTTGAGACCTTCTACGACTGCCCTCGACACCTCTTCCCGAGTAGCGCCTACCGGTCGTTCATCTCGAGGCGCATACTCCCGGAGTCCTTCTTGAAGACAGGCAAGAACTTCATCGCGTTCCAGACCGATTTGCTGAATTTCAATCTCCGGCTTATAAGTCTCCCAGGCATCTCTGACGGCATCAATCACGTCATCTCTGCTAAGATCGGGAATGTCCTGGCGCGAGGCCTCGTTGTCCTTGAGAGCGGTTCGCATGGCGTTATAAATCTCGTTGTAGTCAACTAGAGTCTTGGCTGTTGCGGCAGACTGAGCAGATTGACGGCGGTGCTCACGCAAAACATGATTGAGCTGGTCCTTCATCTGCTCCAGACCTTCGTCGATGACACGAGAGACCTCGTCCTTGCTTGGGGGCTCCGTGTCCTCGATTCCCTTTTGGCCGACCTGCTCAAGACGCTTGCCGATCTCACGGCCCATACCCAAAACCTCGCCTCGCAATTCCCGTACAAGGGCTTTGACCTCGGCTGTGAGACCACCGCCTTGAGCAACACTATCTTTGACAGACCGAATGATCTTGATCAAATCTTCGTTTAGGAGTTCCCGCCCGGCTGGTGCGCGTGCCTCACCGTTGTGAAGAATCTGGTCAAGTCGCTGGGAAACGATGCCATGGTTCCTAGGCTTATCAGCACTCACGTTGCTCTCTTCGCCGCTGCTGAGGTTGCGGCCACGGCTGGCGACGCTTCGATTGTCGTGGATAATGGCGCTCTCTGACTGATGACGAACTTGCTCAAGGAGCTCATCTACCTTGGTAGCCGTGGCCATACCACTAAGAAGGTGCGAAACCTCCGTTAATCGACTGATCAGAGCATCTTGTCCTTCCTTTGTGCCCATTTCCCGAATGATCTTCTCCAAGAGAGTGACAGACGCTGTTTCGCCACCAGCCAATGATGGTGTGCTGATGGAGGCCCTTTCAAAGGAATCGGAAAAGCTTTTGGGTGATGGAATTCGGGGAAGCTGGAATCGACCAGGCGAATTATCATGAGGCTTATTGTCGAGGAACAAGCCTCCAAAATGATTCGAGGTTAGTCTGGAAGATGTCTCGCTAACTCCACTAAGCAGATCTTTGAGGCTCTTCCTGATGTCCTCGTCTCTGTTGTTAGTAGCTTCCTTGAGACTGAGGAGATCAGTAGCATTGTCTCTGCTTCGCCTGCTCAGCTGGGCCATCTCCTTCTGTAGGGAAGTAGCGATGTTGGTGAGGCTGATCATCTGTTCTGAGATTTGTTCGAATGACGGGGAGCCATTGGCGGGAGGGACCGCGCCATTGGTGATATTGGAAATGCGAGGTTCAGCCTCCTTCATTGCGGGAGGAGAGCCCATGTTCTGGAGCGCCAGCATGGTGGATGACTGAGGTGGAGTGTTTTCTCCCAGGATGCTCTGTGTTTGCGGACGACGCACTACCGGGCGTACAATCGGCGTAAGGCTAGGTCCGGGGACGGGACTCCCGCTCATGAAGTCCTTGTCGATTGATATAGCATCAAACTCCCTTTCCAGGTCCGACTTCTTTGGGCTGGGTGTGGGAGTTGAAAATCTTGCTTGGTCTCTGTGGAGCTTTTCTGGGAGCTTCGTAGGCGAAGTTGCCGGGCTGTTCGAGTTGCTTTCGATCATTAAACTCATGTCTCGTACAGTTCCAGGCTGCAGAGACTGCATCCGCCGATGGCTATGGTTTCCCTTGACCAGCGCTCGCTCAGGGGAGTGGTCTGGGAGACGTTTTGTGACAGCCGGGACGAGGGCATTAGCCTCGCGGGCTCGCTCGTTCAGCGCCGCATGTGCAGATTGGATGGCACTTGATGTTCCCACGCGGGAGGTGGCGGGAGACACCGGGTTCAGAGGAAGTGGCGGGGGCGCCCGATCAGGATCTGAGCTATCCCACCTGTCGAGTTTATCAGCATTGGTTAGCTTATACCAGAGAGACATGGCATTAGATGCGGCCGCGGGTTAGGCGGGCTACAACTCAGACCGACTGGCCAGGAAATGGTTGGGGGGAGAGGTAAAGGTGAATGTACGCACATTGGTACCAAAGCCCGCATATTATGGTCAGAAGATGATGCTGAGTGCTGATGTCTCAGCTGCAGCTCCCTCTCACGAGGGCTGTCTCGTTCGTAATGTGACATTGTGGGTGTTGAGGAATGTGATAGTCGGCGTGAGCAGCGAAGAATGCGGGCAGCGCCGCGTCCACACTTTGAAGGTCGTCTCAGACGAACAACAAGCAGGAAATAGAGTGTTTATGTCGTTGTAATTTGTCTCTTCTAGAACCAGGAAGGATATCGATCAGAGGATTAGAGCGGGAGCTAGAGCAATGGGCGCAAAATCAAGTGGTGGAGTTGGTAGCCGAAGCTCCAGGCATATTGTGATGGAGGAAGACCCGATCCAGATATGTTTGTACCTACCGCCGGTTGATAAGGAGCTAAGCGGGTGCTTTGTTTGTATTTTGGGACCCGCAGCTCCAGTTGCCGGGCAACTCCATTGCCGCTCGCATCACCCCATTTTTTTCTTAATTACAATTGGAACCACGTCGAACAGCTAGGGTCAGAGATGGGCTCCCAATGATAATAAAAAAGTATCGTCTCATGCGATAGGTCAGACTATTGTACAGCAAATAAACAACAATTAGGTTACACCGAACGTCACCCACCGCATCATGCAGATCAGGTTACTGCCCTAAGCACATCACCCAGACAGATCATACATAGCAAGTACTGCACGGTAGCCAATCCTTGTCGCATCAATCCCAGCGATTCAGTCTCTCATAAATCAATTATTATAAGTATATTCGTTCAGTTCGGAGCAGAGTGTCTAGTCGTTTTTTTATTTATACAATTTTAGCAAGGCTTGTCTCAAATCAGATAATTTCCAAGACCTCTCTGTCATTAAGCACCCTATAGTCAAAGCGCTGTACAATGATCTATCCGCATCTCCCATTGGTCTAGTAAAATCTAAATCTACCGGCGGAAGGAGTTGTCGAAAGCAGGGATGAGTGTCTGAGCCAGCCAGAAGGAGAACACAAGCTTAGGTCCAGTCATGAGCAACTAGAGTTGACGAAGATTAGCATCAAGAATCAAACTTCTGTAAGCCTGGTGGGGTAACAAACCTTGGGCACCAGTCCCTTGAAGAAACTTGAGAACCCCTCATTCTTAGCCATGTTGGCCAGGATACGGAAACCACTCTCCGGGTTCTCAAAGTTGCGGTTCTGAATACGAGTCTTGATAACATCAAGAGGGGCAGACACAACGAGGGAAGCGGAAGCACCGGCAATTGAAGCAACAAAGTTCTGGAACCAGCTGGCCTTGTTGTAATCCTGGAGGTGGAACAGATATTCCTTGGCAAAGGCAGAGCCTCCGAAAAGCTGGATCGCAACTTGTTTAGATATTCTCATGGTCCAATCATGTCAAAGGAGGGGGAATCAGACTCACCGCAAAGGAGCCAGGGGCATTTCGAGCAGCAGTCCAACCCCAGCCGCGGTAAAGGCCAAAGCCCTCGTCAGCGACGATCTTGAAAAGACCACGACCCTTGAAGGCTTCTGGGTTTGTCTGGCGCTTGATCTTGAGGACATCCAGAGGCAAAAGGACGATTTCACCAATTCCGATCAAACTATTGCCATATTAGCTCACGAATATTATCTTGGCCATCACTCGGTCTCGAGTTCCAGGGAGACTGCAATCCGTACCTGCCAGCAGTCGAGTGCAGAATGGCCTTGCCGGTCTTCTTGCCAAAGGCAGACTCGAAATCCTTGCCATAGTGTTGGGTGAGGTAATCACGGGCCACGGGCTGGCCACCATACTTGTAAATTCGCTGCAGAACCTTGTAACCCGCGGCATATCCCAGACCAGGGAAAAGCGAGACAAACTTGGTCGTAAGAGGGGCAGCGGCCTGTTGCTTGAAGATAACTTGATTCAATTGAGCTGCGCTAGCGACCTATTCAACAGGTCAAATTGTGAACATCGGCGCATCATTGAATCTCGGACGGCGACTCATACTCTGGTCTGGTTGCTCATCAATCGCTTCGCAATGGTGTCAACCTAAGGCAAAAGTCAGCCAGGTTGCGTGGTGTCATTTATATGTGGTGGGCTAGACAAACAGGGTGGAAAACAGCCAGTTCAGCAATGCCAGCAGAACCTGTCTGAGCTGTTAGCACGATGCTGCTCGTCTGTGGTTCGAAGCAAAAGTTTGTTCGAACGAGGTGACTACGGACCAGATCCCAGGACTCTGGCGAGATTGGACTCTCTCTCGCCTCCTGTGCTTGCCGAGGGAGACATTTTGGCTGGGGGAACAAGTCAAGATCGTGCAATTGGGGTGTACTTTGAAGCAACGAAATGAGTGGCTGTCGCAATCTTGAGGTTGTCGCGTGGAAATATTAATTTAGTCGCCTGGCTAAATTTTTGTACAGGGTGCCGAACTCGGGAGTATTCGTCTTGGCCGGGAGCAGTGGCCATTGCCCCACCATACCCGCTCGATCGAATGCGCCCCTCTCTGATGTGGATTTCGGATTTCGAGTAGAGCTGGCTGACACGTTGCTACCCTATATCCGACTGATCCTCGTCACGGTGTGTCAGATTGAACAAATTATCCATCTGATGAAAATGACCGTTTCTGTTTGCTTTTCAGTTAATATAAACATGAAGGGCGCAGCTGGAACCCTCCTAGGGGGGTGATGGCAAGTCATTGAAATAGAATTGCGATTGTTCGTCCCTACGAGATATGTTTATATGTTCAACTTCAAATTCCATTGATTATTACGTGAATGGGTACCGAGTTTTATTATCCAACTGTTGCTCTCTTTCGGGAACCTATATATAAACAAAGAGCCCGCAACAGCTAAATTAATAGCTTCACCAAAACCCAGACCGATTGCATTAAGTGAAGTGCAGAAACGCTTTGCTGGTATACCTCGGGTTCTAATCTAGAAATCCCTTAACACAGAAACCATGTCATCAAGTCTCATGACTTGGCCCAGTAACCTGTCCTGAACTTCGAGATGGCTGTTGTACTTGTTGTAGTGCTCGGCCGTCATAACCTCTTCCTCCTTGCCCTGAACGTCCTTGCGCTCAACAAACGATAGAATGTTGCGTTCCTTGTGTCGTTCAACCTGCAGTGTTTGCATACACCGCAACATCGCCTTGTAAACATCATCGAGCAATTGGGCCTGCGTCTTTTCGCCATCGAAATGCCAAAAAAAGAGTGTTCGATTGGCCAGGCGGTTGGTATCTCTGGGAACTTCTTGAATGTCCACTAGGCCAGCCATTTGCATAGCAAGCATCTTCCCTTGCACATCTCCCTTCTTCATCAATGCTGATGAGTAAAGCATTTTCTCGTCAAGCTTGCCTCTCTCTCGTAGGATCCGAGTCAAGCGCAGGCCATGTCTCCCGAATGATTGCTCAATAACCGCATCCATTTCAGCATCTCGGAACCGGGCCATAAGTAGCCGGAAGTCCACTGTCCATTGGCCTCGACCCTGGGTGCCACAGTGGCGGATGAACCGGTGCTTGCTGTCTTTCAGTAAGAGTAGATGCTGCCTCATTTGTTCTATGCGAGCTGCCCTATTCGTCGAAGTGTCGTCAAATGTTACCCTGGATGGGCGTTGGCCGTTCGTTCTCGTGTCATTATCCGACTCAGAAAACGGATCGTCATCATTATGTTGACCAGTGTTTCCTCTTGGCCGGATGTTGGACCGCCCATTGGGAATAGGCCCATCGTCATCCGACTCGATGTCAGATTCGTCATCTGATTGAGGCACCTCCATTTTCACTTTCTCGACACTGGAGGTGTCAATCTTATCTCCAGATACCTTGCCAATGCCTCTAGAAACGTCGATGCTCTCGTCTAGGTGATCAAAAATGTCCAGAGTAGTTACTGTAATCGGTGCCGGTTCTGGCTCTTTTACTGCCGCGAGTGGATCGATTCGACACCTCGACATGTGAGCTGTAGTTAGGTCTAGAAGTGTGCGATATACGCTGGCAGTGGTTTCGCCTATGCTGTCAGATGCAAAAGCCACCAAACGGTGGTTCCGCAACTCAACCAAGCATTTTTCGTAATTCACTCTGACGATGATGTTTGGCTAAACAGTGTTAGACGGGATACTCAATCAGCTGGGGGTTAGGGGCCTAGAGGCTTACATTTAAATGAGGGGCATCGTCATCATCGATGTCCCCATTTGTGGAATGGCCATTCTGCAACTTGCGCCTCTTTGCATAGCTGCCCCGTGTTTGGTCGAGCTGCCTTTTGATGGCCTTCCCGTTATCTCGAAAGGCGATGTACCGCTCCGCAGCCTTTTCATCATTCACTATCTTGTCCTTGTTGCTGATCCTGTCACCTGGTGAGGCTTTGGCCATCTCTTGCTTGTATTCATCAAGGACTTCGGCTGGGTTGCGGAATGTGTCAGCTCGCACGGCCTCGACAATTTCAGCCTGAAGTAGGCGAGCTAAAACAGACCGAAGTCGGCTCTCAGATCCGATAAGCATCGAGTGCGTTCCGTTGGTTTCTCCATTGGCCTGGGGAGCTCTCGTCGAGAACGCTTGGCCCAGGTCTTGAATCCGAGCATGCCCAAGGAGCATCAGAGTCTGCACCAAATCACGTTCAGCGGCCCCGAATCGTTGTTCCAAAACTTCCAGTATTTTCCCGGAACGGATCAGATTGTAGCAGGCATCGGGGTTGGCCTCGTATGTAGTTGTTTTAGAGCCAGGCTCAGTTCGCGCATACAGCAAATTCTGATGGAACAGCACGCCTAATCCATTTCTTAGATGACGGGGGTTAAGTGAGGTCTGTTGCACTAGCTGAGGAATGGTACTTCGTCCCTTGGTCAGAAGGGCGATGAGAATTCGCTGCATTGACCAGTGCCAAGGTTAGCCCCGCGCTGGGAAGTAAATATGATCGCATGAGAAGATGATCTCATCTTGTGCAAATGGCATACCGATGGAAGTTCACCGTAGAGGTCGTTAACTAGGAGAGCACAAAGCTCTGCAGCGTGTTTTGTCTGGCGCAATTGGTGTCAATGGACTGGACAAGCAGAGCTAGGCGGCGCAATCGATTTGGGGCTGACTCACAACCAGCATTGCTTTGCTCCTAGAGATTCTCTCACTATCTCTAGAGCTTTCACAATTACTACCGATTCGTCATTTGTCGCTGGGACTAGACCAGCAATTTCGCTCCTGCAATTGTGGATGCCGAGAGCCGGAACGATGTGTTTTGGTTGACGAGAGCAAGTTGACGATGCAGACTTGCGCTCACGCCGATTTTTTTGTGGAATATCGTAGGTGAAGCTAACACAAGTCTAGCATAAAAAAGCGGGTCGTCCACTAGTTGCGCCTGCATTGGTCAGACAAATTGCCGGGTTTGTACCTCCCTCAATGATTTCGCCTTGAGATACTTTGTCCGGAAGATACAGGCATGGCTATCACGTGACGAGCAAACTTCCCTCTGTCCCGAAAATCAGACGGGCAGCTCCCGACGAGGCACTTCTTTTGGCGACCAAACTGCCTTGACGACGGCGAACGGACAGTCAATTCCACACGAAATCGTTCTCGACTATGATCTCGAGATCGTCTCTCGCCAGAAACGCGCAGAAGGCCGCTTGCCGGTCATGGGCTGCCCAGCCCCTGCAGCGAAGAGCCTTTGCCGCAGCTGCGAACACTGGCGCTTTTGAGTCTTCGGATGTTTCTGGACTCAAGGTTGCCTCGCGCGATGCTCACGGCCCCACGACGAAGCTTGCCATTGTTGCCAAGGCTGGAACTCGTTATCAGCCCCTCCCTGGATTGGCTGTTGGTCTCGAGGAGTTTGCTTTCAAGGTACTGTTTTGTCATTGAAATGTCACGGCAATTCCTGAGCTAATTTGTCGTGAAGAACACCCAACGCCGATCTGCCCTCCGAATTACTCGCGAATCCGAGCTCCTTGGTGGCCAATTGACCGCATCCCACACCCGTGAGGCTGTTGTTCTCCAGGCCAGCTTCCTGCGCGAGGATCTGCCTTACTTCGCCGAGCTGTTGGCCGAGGTTGTCTCTTCCACCAAGTACACCAGTAAGGATCATATGTGTTAAGCGTCACCAATTGCAGTCGCTGATGATCCCATAGCCCACGAGTTCCACGAGGATGTTGAGCGAGTTCTCCATCTCAAGCAAGCTGCCTTCAATGCCGATGTCAACGCTCTCGCCCTCGACAACGCTCACGCCGTCGCCTTCCATGTCGGTCTGGGTGCCCCCGTCTATCCTACTCCCTCGACTCCCTACCAAAAGTACCTGAACGAGGAGTACATTGCTAGCTATGCCGACGTCGTTTACACCAAGCCTAACATCGCTCTCGTTGCTGAGGGTGCTCCTTCCCAAGATCTCTCTAAGTGGGTTGGCCAGTTCTTCAAGGATGTGCCCTCTGCTTCTCAAAGCGGCCAGTCCCTGAAGGTTGAGGCTTCCAAGTACTATGGTGGTGAGCAGCGAACATCTCACGCCGGTGGCAACGCTCTGGTCATTGCTTTCCCCGGCTCTGAAGTTTCCAACGCCAAGCCTGAGATTGCTGTCCTTGCTGCTCTTCTCGGTGGCCAGTCCAGCATCAAGTGGTCATCTGGCTACAGCCTTCTCGCCAAGGCAACCGCTGGCACCTCCGGCCTCTCTGTTACCACCTCCAACCTCGCCTACTCCGATGCTGGTCTCCTCGCCATCCAGCTCTCTGGTCCTGCTGCCTCTGTCCGTAAGGGTGCCGAGGCCACCGTGAAGGCCCTCGAGACCATTGCCAGCGGCTCTGTCAGCCAAGAAGATGTCGCCAAGGCTGTTGCCAACGCCAAGTTCAACGTTCTGGATGGCGCCCAACAACCGGATGCCGCTCTCCACCTCGCTGGATCTGGCATTGTCAACACCGGTAGCCCCTATGACATTGCTAAATCTGTCAAGGCTATCGAGGCTGTTACCGCTGACGCCCTGAAGACCGTAAGTTTCATACCCTTTCCCCGTTCTTACGCTGCAGTGCAATGTAAACTAACTTCATTCATAGACTGCCAAGGCTCTTTTGGACGGAAAGGCAACTGTATCTACAGTGGGTGATCTTTTCGTTCTCCCATACGCCGAGGAGATTGGTCTCAGGGTATAGATAGCGGGTCGATAGGCGTAATAGCTTGTACCAACAGTCGCGATCGTCTAGATAGGGGGATGTGGCGGTTTGTCCGTATGTCAATAACTGTATCAGAATTCTTTTGTCCAGTCCAGCTCCCATTCGAAACTCATGCCTCAGTACTAAAAATACCTACGAAGGATTGCCCCTCCTAATATTTAAACTACCCTATAGGTCATGTACGTTGAATCTACTACTCAGCTAGGCTGATATTTGTTTGGTCCTGGGTGATCAATTACTCTAGTAAGCGCGACTATATGAGCTCAGATGAGAGCGGCGGCGACACCAATAATGAAGTCAAGAGGGACACATCAGGCATGATGTTTCTTCCCATTGTGGTGGAAAACGTCACAAAGCCAGGGCGCGAGCTTATAAGCTTTCGAATTGTGATATCCAAGGTGGAGAATGCAGACATACCGTTGCTTTGGAAACACATAAAATAAGTAAAGATGGCAAAGTTGTTCATGGTAAGGTCACTTTGTAAACCCCCAATTGCCTCTCCGGATGGATTCAATTGGGGTGCACCTTTTGTAGTCTGGGATGTGGCGCAATGCCAAACTCCTGGAAAGGATTTGGCAGAACCCATCGGGCACATTTCTCTTTACACCATTAGGTAGGTACATATGTATGTCTTCGGTGCTTCTGCGGGATGTAATATACGACCATCGTAAGCAGATCGTTCATAACACGTTGTCCTGGGCTTTGACATTTCGACTGCCCAAGATTTACACTTACGCTATCTGACAGCCTACCGGATGGGCAATACGAGTCGCTGTCTAGGTCCGACATCTTGAACAGCACTAATTGTTGCAGGACCTGAATCCAAGGTGAGCCTCGTCATTGGATCACTGAGTTTCACTTAGTAAAACACATTTCCCCCCTGCGGGCTGGCTTGTTTCAGCTTGTTCGGAGATGCCAAGGTGCTATAAATATGTACAGCGCTCTGTGCTCGTTATGAGAAAATTAGGTTCCTGGCTATGCTCAATTAAAGCATATAAATGAGTTACTGGGGCCTTGCATTTGAGAGTCTTTCTTTGATAAACAATAATTAATATTCATGGTCATTGTTGTTAAGGGCGGCGTCAACTGCAACCAGCCGCCCAATTTTTTTTTGATCATTGGGGCTACATATAGGTTGGTAGTCTCGGTATTTTTGTGAGCTTACTATTCGGCACAAGAGGCCCCCATTTGTGATGGGAGAAGGGCGGGCACTTGGCGGCCGGGCCGTCTCCTGATGATTTCACAGCCTCCAAGGGGGGTACAACCAAAGTGCTACTGTATGCCTTATAGTTCAAATGTTGTTGGGCGATATGCCTTTACCAGCATATTCGCCGATCGTATAATAGCATCGCATCGGCATAACGACCAGCTGGTCAATGACACAAGAAGGAAAGAGGAACGGGAAGAGGGAAAGAGATATCAGTCTGACAGAACAACAACGAGCATCGTTCATGCCCTGTTGAGGCTCCGCCTAGAGAGCGCATCACCAATGACGGGTAGGCACTTACTCACTCCGAAGGTACCTCCCACCGTGTAGGTCAGGCCCTACACGGCATTGATGGTACGGCTCGTATGTAGGTAGACGCCTGCAGTCAGGCTCGCTCCTGGACTTTCTCGCCTTGCTTCCGTCCGCTGTGGCGGTGTCTGGCCTTCCTGAGCCAAGGTCCCATTCGTCAACCTTTGAAGCAATTAAGCTTCCACTGCCCAGTAAAATTCTGGGCCCAGCCGCCAAACCGCTGGTCAAGCCTGTGGCACAAGACATCAGGCCTGGCGGTAGCTACTAGCCCCGGAAGGAAGCGACAGGGTAAGGTAGGTACGTACTAATTAGCAAGGCATTCCGCTGAGGCGCCGCCCGCCCATACAAAACTGCGTGGGACGCCCACTACCGTCACTTTAGGGGGAGGGTTCACCTAGTAGTGGGTGCGCCAAACAACAAAGTGTTGACTCCTCCACTCAATCCACCATCTCCTCCTGTCCACAGTCTTGTCAACTTCCATCGCCCTTCTCCAGACTCCTCCGTCGAATCCGATTCCCCTCCTCTCCCCATGTCACCCGGGCCTCTCCTGAGACAACTATCATAATTCCGAGCCGTAGAAATTGGCGAAATTTTGTTTGTTTGGTGAATTTCTTGTCTCTCGCTTTCTCTCCATTTCCTCCCTCCTCTTGAATAGGTACGTTGCGTCCCCCGAATTGCTAGCAAGTTGCCTCCCGAGCCACACAGCTGTTGTTGCTCTATACCGGGCTTTCTAGATTTCCTAGAAAGGAGCTGTGGCACTTGCTCTCGATTTGAGCCTTGGAAATTGGTTCGACTTATTTTTTTTGGGGATCTGTCGCTGATATCTGTCGCTAGGTCTGGGTAGTTTCTTCGACACCGCCTTCACTCGCCCTTCGATCGTACAGACCAATTCTACCCAGTCCTCGTAGATAGGCTGGAACGGTTACTTTGGAATTTCCCCAGGTTCTTTCCGACCCAATCACCGCCGAGCGTTTCCCTTGACCTTGCTGTCGCTGTCAACGTGAGTTCTGATTCAGAAATGGCCCCACAACTTCTCACACATACCTTCAAGCTTTCCTTGTCTCGTGGCATATGAGGTGCAAGGTTTGCGGACCAGCTCTGACACCCATTCATGGGAGTACTTGCATATGGCTTGTCCCCGCCCTTTTCGCACATGTTCTTTACTTTATTTATTCATCGGGATATCCTCTTCTAACTCAGGTGGATTGATAGGCTTCTCTACCCCCCGCCTCAACTATAACGCTTGCGTGCGATACGAACGGACGCAAAGGACAACAAACCCTTCGCGCTTGTATGGTCGATCTGCGCATCGGTAGAAGCACCTCTTGAGAAGTGTCTGGTTTACTTCCTGCTGGTCAGAATGCCTGGTCCGAGGAAGGATAATTCTGGTGGGAACGCGGGGAGGCCCGACGGTCGCGGCCAAAATGGTGAGTCTCCTTGGTGCCAGGTTGAGAATGTTGAGGGCATGATCTGATTCTTTCTTTCAATAGGACATCGAGGCAGCTTCCAGACCGACTCATCCATTTCAAACAGCCGGTTCGGACACGAGCGGACACTACAGCGATGGGTGCCAGATGCGAACGATGCAGTTGATGGGAGCTTGGAGAAATCTTCCAACAGCAACACCGGAGGTTGGGACCAGTTTGCTGCAAACAAAAAGCTCTTCGGCCTTACGACTGATTACGACGAAAACATTTACACAACGGCGATTAATAGAAGTCACCCACAGTACCAGGAGCGAATTGCTGCAGCTGAAAAGAAGGCTCGCGAGATCGAGCGCAGTGTAGCAACCACAGCCCATGTTGCTGAGGAGCGTGTTATGGACTACGTCGCGGGCTCTGAACCCAACGATGACAATGAAGAAGACAAGTATGTGCCCTTGAACCTGCAAATGTTATCACATGCTGACACCTCAATAGATACAGTGGCGTTCGTCGCCAAGGGCAAGCACCCTTGGCAGGCCGTGAGAACAAGTATACTCCTCCGGCCAAGAGGGCTCCCGCAGCTCACTCAACTGTGAAGGGAGCCCCTGTTGACCCTGCCATTATTTCATCCCAGATCAAGGTTTCTGGTAAGAAGACGGCGGTGCTTGGACCAAGTGGAGATGCTATCAAGAACGGTGCTGTTGCGAGCAATGAAAAGACAAAGCCCGCTCAGGCAAAGAATTCGGAAGAGAAGACCAGCGATGCGACTGCTTCTGCACAAGATGCGAAGGTTGCAGAAAAGGCGAGCCCATCTGGCCGACCTTCCACAAACGGAAAAGCCGGATCTCCCAATCCCAAACCGAGCGCAACCTCAACCGTTGAGCGCGACGTGCTGAAGGAGTTTAAGACATTTGCAAATCAGCAACGCGAGAACGCGCAGAAAGTTCGCAGCAGCAAGGCCAAGGCTGATAAGGAGGTCAAGTTGACCGAGCTCAAGAAATTCGCCAACAGTTTCAAACTGTCTACTCCGGTTCCAACTGATTTAGTCTCGATTATTGCAAAAGACCCAGCAAAGCAGAAGGAAATTCAAGCTAAGGCGCTCAAGAACGCCGAGGAAGTTGCCAGAACAAAGGCAGAAACCACACCCAAAGATACCAAACCCACACCAGCAGCAACAACGGGAGACACACAGACGAAGCCTGCTGAGCAGCCGCCAGCCAAGCATAACTCCGAGCCTCGCGCGCCCCGAGCTCCCAATGCTCCTCAAGGGAACGCTCAAGGTGGTCCACAAAACCGCCATCCTGGGCACCGTCAGCAGTATACTCAACAGCCTTACCAGTACAGGAACAATCGTGGACCCCACCACATTCCCCCACAGCAACAGACTGGTACCCTTGCCCAACGCATCCGGAACGCAGAACAGCATAAATTCTCTCAGCCGTTGGGCCCTCATCAACACATTCCAGGCCAGGAAACACGACCTCCTCCAACTGGTCCCGCTAACAACGTTGACCAAAGCTTTAACCGCCGCCTGTCTGGAGTGCCTTCTCACATGGGAGCCAAGCTTAACCCAAATAGCCATGAATTCAGGCCCGGTTCCTTCATTCCCACTCTGAATCAGAACGGACACCCAAGTGCATCATCCAGCCCAAGGTCTGTGGTGAACAACCCTCCCGAGCATCCTGCTGCTCCACCGACCGCACCAGCACCAGCTGTTGCTGGGGGCCAGCTCATTCGTCGCAAGACCAAAGCTGTTGATGTCGGCAAGTGCCTCATCTTGGCACATATGAAGACCCTCACCCCGCCACAAGGAAAGAATTGGGATGAGAACGGAGGGCTTCGCCCCGCTTATGATACTTTGCCAACATGGCGACAGCTCCAGGTTGAAGAAAATAAAGAATCAACCATGCACTTGACATATGCCCAACACTTTGAACGCCAGCCATTCGGAGGTTCAACCATGGCAACGCCCAACCCGCCTCACGTTGTTCCCCATATCGCTCACCAACACCAGCTGCCATTCCACCTCCAGCAGGGCGGCCACAACATGGGGCCGCGACAGTCACCTCACTTGGCTCAAATGCAGATGCATACTCCGCAGCATGGACCAGGCCCCCACCAATCGTATGGTCACGATGACCACCGTATGGTTCACTCAAATTCGGCGCAGTCGTTTGCCTCACCTCGCCTCGGCCAAGTTGCCATGGCATATCCCGGAATGAACTCGCCTGGTCAGGTTCCGTACCACCAGCCGGTCTTCATGAGCCCCGGGACACCACAGATGAACTACAGAAGTTTCTCCAACAATCCTCAGTATATGCCGCAAGGACAGCCGCAACTAGGAGGACACATGATGATGCAGCCGCACTTTCCTCCCCAAGGAATGGTCGGTGGTCCACAAATGATGTATCCCGGAGCCCCTCCACACTTCATGACTCCTGGTGGGCCCCCCCAACCCGCCCCTGGTGCAAATGGGTATCCAAGCCCTGGACGCCCAGCTGCCACTATGATGTCCCACCAAGGTTCTCAGCAAGGCCAACCTATGTATGGAATGAGTCCAAATGTCGGGTATAGCCAGCCGGCCTTTGCACATGGCCAACCTGGTGGCCCTAGTCAGTAACTTTAATCTCAGATATCGGTCAATGTATGGCTGACTCGGGGAAGCAGTTTCCAACCCGCGGGGTTATAACAATGCAGGCCCACAGCATTTTGGTACTAGCCCTCAACAGCCACATCAATTTGGGCACCATCAACAAAGGAGGGGCAGCAGTAGCTACAATAAGAACTATGGTGATCAAACTCAGAAAGGCCATCCAGCTAGTCAAGCAACGAGCCAGCCAGTGTCAAATCGAGTGACGAATGGTAGTGACGAAGCCAAATGAACACCCTTCTGGCCAAAGGCGCGATGGTATAAACCTCCATTTTGGAACGATGATAACCTCATTCACGGCATCACCCGCGTATTCACTGTCCGGTTTAGGACCGCCTTTGAAATCAGCATCGTTTGCCCGGCATAGGTTGTCTCCCATATAACAGACATATGGATATAAACTATGCAACATCACCAGGCCCAGATTGCGTGGTCCGGAAATATCTACACTATAAGACACAACCTTATCTTGGACCTGAATTTCTTATCTGGATTCCTATTGCTACCCAGGAAGCTATGCTTATTCTCTTACACCCAATTTCGATATCGAGATCTGAGAGGCTTATTCTTGATCAACTCAAGTCGAAAGTCTAGGGCAACACAAGAGATGGTATTTGTGGTGAAAAACTGGTGTCAAGCTGCATAGCAAAGTGCCGCATACCACTGTTTTTCATAAGGAGCCTTACTGAAGCGTAAGACGGACAGTAAAGAAGTCTGTAGCCGACTATTTCACTCTTCGCTTTGGATTGCTCTCGGCATCACACCACATCATAGCTGGGTGAGCTATCCGGATAGAGTTTAGGTGTTCGGGCACGATGAGAAGCGAAGCATCCATACAGCGGATGAGACAGGATAAAGCATATGCCGTGGGCGGCTGCAGGCGACCCAGAGAAGACGGTGTTCTATGTTTTGTTATCACGGAAGAAGCATCATTTACAGAGAACACAGCCTGCATCATTGGTCTGTATTTGAGTTATGGTTACCGTAGCATATTCATAGGCATATCAAAGGCATTGAAAAACCAGCTGTGAACAGAAATTTGCAACTTACTGGTGATGTCGGTGGCTAAGAACACATGAATGGACACAAAACAGATTGAGGTTTTGATATACACGACAGTCAATAGCCAAAAGACATAGGCCTAGGAGACAACAAGATTGGGGCGAGAGGGAGAGACCCTGAAAAGCGTTTGTCCTGAATAGGTAGGGACTGAGGCAATGGACGGCTTGCCTCCTGGATCAACATCTGGTGGGGACCAGGGGCTGCGGAATCAAATAAGGGGGTAGGTATGTCTGTTCCTGTCTGTGCGAGTCTGAGTGCGTATGCGTATGCGTAGGCGGACCACAGCATCTGGCCCAGATCGTGCCCCAAGTTTCGTCTGATGGGTGTCTGCTGGGTTGGCCTGGACCAGCAGCTGGCAGGAATCACTTGTTATACCTACCTAGGACTTTGGCAATGCAGCCCCCACCGCTTACGACAAGTGGCATTGGGGGCGGTGGTGATTGCCACTCACGCAAATCTCTCCTCCATGTCATCCTGTCGACTTTTCAATCCGAGAATGCTAGCCCGACGCTTTGATTAAGGGTTCTGTTGTCTCGTGCCTGAGTGTAAACCTAGTGCAGCTGAAAAGAAAAGAAGAAACCATCTCATCTTAGAAACGGCGTGCCTCAGCGAATCATGGCTGTGTTGACGAACGTGACCTAGTTTTGAAACGTGCCAGTTCAACCAGCTTCCAAGGATGGATGGCCAATAAAGCAGATCTTCGTGTGTGCCAGCATGATTCTTAGTGCCCAAACCCATCCACGAAGCGCATCTAGTGTTGTACATAGTATAACTTGTGGCTCAGTTCAGGGGATTTACTTACGTACGTTGTTGTATAAGGGTAACGAATAATGCCTGCGGAAGAGTGGCAAGGTTACATTTTCCCTCCCCCCATGCATGCACCCAATATAGGTTCGCACTTGCCGAGCGCATCATGTTTCCGATGGAGGAAAATACCGAGACATGGAGATTTGATGATGCCTGTTGGCATTGGTGTCGAGCACTTGCACGCCTGCCTACATTGGAAAGGTCTGAGACGTCTTTGAGTCTATCGATGCCGGAGAAAAGAGAGGACATTATTAGTTCCAAAATATGTCTTTCAAAAAAGAATTCTGCACTCTTCTCCCATACAATATCACGAATTGGGAATGGTAGTTAGGCATGGCAATAAATGATCTTAAGAAGAAGAGTGCAAACTGCTGTTGAGTACTTACGGTTGATGAACATTGCTACGGTGTCAGTGATTTAAGATCAAACGAAGTACGCATTCGTTCAAAGATGCAACTACGCAAGGGCCTCCTTTCTCCGAAAAGAAAGTAAGATGGATGGATGGATAGATGTAACCTGGCTTGCCCGAACAGGACGAGTTACCTAAACAGTGCTGTTATTCATGGTGTGCCCCTGGCAGGTAAATCTTGGTTTTGGGTTTCCGAAGTTTGGTAATGCAATGCGGCGTAGCAAGGCTTCGGAGGGGGGGACACCACGGGCCATCGGCCGGCAGTTCCATGATAGGCATCTCGTCGGGTTCTGATATTGGGCAACTTCCTGTTGTGTTGTGTGTGGAGGTTAAGGTTGAGGATGTAGGCAACAGAATAACCAACCCTTGGTGGCAATGGAGCCAGCTTCCAGACGGATCTGCACTGAGATGAGATGCTGTTCGGTCAAATTTCTTTCGGGCGGCCCCATCTCACTATTTTCCTTCTTTTTCTTTTTCTTCTCCTGCTTCGCCTGAGCTGGCGTTTCGAATGGGCTTTTACCTACCGAATGTGGTGAGAGTCGGTGCGGGGGCCTTGTCTGTCCATGGGTGGATGAAACCGAAACCTCCGATATGCTTATGCTGGGCACCGGCACTTGGCATTGATTGACTGCAATATGGAATTCACAAGACCCAGGAGCTGCCAGGGTCCTATGGCAGTGGGTGCTTCCACATGTCAAAGTCTGGAAGAGAGGTGAAGAGGGAACAGGAAATCTTGATATTAAAATGGAGGTGGTTGTGTGTGACGGCATGACTCGGTCTGCGAATCAAAGGGTGCTCATTCAACTTGTGAAATTACCAGGGATGGCTGGCTGCTCTGCCCTAAGACACCAGACTGCGCCCGAGACAAAGGCAAGAGTCGGTGGCTTGGAGTGTCAGCCTTCCCGATAGCCGGGGAGGCAAGTGGATGGCAGCGACGAAGCGCATCGAAGTGAAAAGCTGGTGGTTTCAGAGGCGGTTGGGAAGGGGCCCATGATTGGCTGCGGGTGGCTGCAGCAGAGGTGAGGTGCTGAGCAGGGGCCCCCAGTGATCGGCAAGCACCTGAGGGCTAGGCTGAAGGGTGTCGAAGCGCGCACTGGCAGCTGGCGGGTTCTGCAACACGCTAGCCTCCACTGGAAGCAGCGCATAGGCATGTGCGTGGGTGGGTGTGGCGCCTGAGACGAGACAGCAACTGGCTCTGGACCGACCACCACCAGTCCACGGGCCATCACCAGCTTCAGCCGCTAGGGTTTTCTCTCCGGCACAGCGGCAATGCGCGTCACCGCACCACGGACGGACCATTCCCCTGGCTGGCCTGCGCTGGCTGCCGGCCGGGGCTCGCTTGACTGGACGAACAGGCCCCATCGGCCACCTCCCATCCCATCAAGCCTCCCTGCCCTCCCAGACACATGATACTTGGTCCAGACTCACATACCCAATCGAGTCTAAGTCAGGGCAGGCTGGCGTCTATCCGTCTTCCACTCGCTTTGAGTCAACGCCCATCTTCCCAGGCTGGCGGGAGATCCCCCCGCCCCGCCCACCGCTGTCGCTGTGTCGTGTTGGAGCAAGCACCGTCAATCAATCAGACACCGCTCACGTACCTGTACGTGACAGTGACGGGTGCAGCGTTTGGCAAGACGCTAGCCTCCTGGGCTCTGTGGAAGGGAAGCGAATCGGGCATTCGACCGAGCATTCATTGGGCTACAACGTAACATGATCAGCCAGGCGAAACCACGGCCTGGTCTGAGCTCTGCCCAACGGGTCAAGCCGAGTTGCTCCCTTTGCGTGCTACACGCCAGCCTGCCCTCCCTCTTGAAGAGGCGCACGGATGCCCTGACTATGGAGCCTCTAGGGGAACAATGGGGAAGTGTCTGAGAACCCTAGCAAACATACCCCATTGTGTAGGCGCCTGCCTATTGCATGCCGTGCTGATTCTTGATGCGTTTTCATCTGGTAAGGCAGAAGGGGTGTGGGTAAGAGGGGCGTAAAGGGGTTGCATGACTTCGAGTTCATGTACAGGGAACAGATGAATCTGTGAACAGTGTCGGTATGGATGAATCGGCACAATACCGTGAGGTCGAGGTGAACAACGGCCACGCCCCTCCCCGAGATACCAAACGCTCCACCGACGTGTGCTAGCTGGTGGCCACAACTGCAGAGTATAAAGATGTTCTCCTCCTCTCAACTTAGCACTTCTTTCTCCCAGGTTACACAGCCAACCACAGCCAGGTGCTTTCATTCTTCAATTGTTACAACGTTCTCTCTTGTGTTCATCGAGTGTTCCGCAAGCCGCATCACTCACAGTCACTGACGTCTTGTTCTGCGAACAATTCTCACCATTCATTCAAAACAAACTCTTTCAAGAACACACTTCGTTTTCCAGCTTTGAGCCGCGCTCACATCTTGCTATATACCCATCCACACCTGGCACCCAGACCTGCAATCTCGAACCAGTCACCGACGCTCTCTACGATCTGGCTATCTAGCATCGTCCTGGTTCCGACCTGAATCTCTCGATACTACAGCAAAACGCTCCCGAGCTATTCAAAACAACCTTCATTTTTCGCTCACCATGAAGTTCCAATCTACTCTCGGCGCCGTCATCGGACTGGCTTCCATGGCCGCCGCCCACATGCAGATGAAGAGCCCTCCTCCTCTGCGATCTCAATACAACGAATTCACCACCGATGCCGACTACAGCATGACCAGCCCCCTGGATCAGAGCGGCAGCAACTTCCCTTGCAAGGGCTACCACTCGCTTCTCAACACCGACCAAGGCAAGTCTGTCGCCACATGGCAGCCAGGTTCCTCCCAGAGCATGACCATCACCGGCGGAGCATCCCACAACGGTGGTAGTTGCCAGGCTTCCCTCTCCTACGACGGTGGTAGCACCTGGAAGGTCATCCACTCGTACATTGGCAACTGCCCTGTCACCGGTGACTCAAGCTACGACTTCA